TGGTGGCGAAAGTGGAATCGCGGATAATGATCCAATTGGCGCTAATGCTGACAATCCAACGCGTAATAATATGCCGAGCACATCAAATGGCAATGGAAAGAAATCCAAAGGTGCAAAGAAAGTACGCAAAGGCACACGATCAAAGGAAAGTGGCACCAAAGTTAAAGAAACACAAGTGTCATGTATGCAACTATTTGGCATCGGACAAGGCAAACTTGACACGGCACATGCGCGTCCACACTAGCGAGAGGCCTTTTGCTTGTGAAATATGTGCAAAAGCTTTTAATGAGAAGAGTAAATTGAAACGGCATAAAAAAGTCCATTTACCAAAATTACCATTCCGTTGTTCGAAGTGTCGTAACGGTTTTACACAAGAAATCGATAAAATTAACCATGAAAATGAATGCAAATGGCCACAATACCAGTGCCACATATGTAAAAGCACAACTCGGAATTTGTTTGATCTGAAGCAGCACATGCGAATCCATAATGGCGTTAAGCCATTCAAATGCCGCGTTTGCTTTAGAGCATTTACAATGAAATATTCTCTTAAAGTTCATTCACGAACCCATGTTGAACAACTGCCATTCGACTGCCGGAAATGTGGCCAACGATTTGGTACCGAAAACAAGAAGGAATTGCATGAAGATCGTTGCACCGTTCGCCGATACGATTGCTATCTATGCCCATTCAGATGTTTTAACAAAGACCATTTGCAATTCCACATGCGATCAAAGCACACCGGCGAATAACCATTTTCATGTGCTGTTTGTAAAAAGACATTCCGTCAAAAATGCCATGCATATCAGCACATGAAAAACGTCCATCGATTGAAGAAGTAACAAACGTTGCAATAAAAATAAACATCGGCAAACAGTCCATTACTTCAGTTTTTCTGATATCGACGTGTCTTAATGTTAAATAAAGAAATAATAATAATGATAACAGCTTTTCAAAGCAATCAATAGAACTTTTGTTATACTTACCCACAAAATAAAATAAATGAAATATCGAAATAAATCGTCTTCTATTCAAATGTGAAACTAAAGTTTACTTAAATCTAGAACATTAAACTGTTGTTGATCATGGACAAATGATGGACAAATGAGCTGTCAACAGATTCAGACCTAAATATTGTTGATTAAAACCAAAACCGATTCCTCCCGGCTCCTAAATCTAATCTTAAATGCACTACTGTGATTATGGAAATGCTTTTATCGTTATTATCTTTAAAAATACGGTCGAACAAATCCACCTAAATGTTTGCTTTTCTTTATGATTTTTTATCGGGTAAACATATTTAAAAAAAGTCTAACCAAAATTAGTTCAAAATCTTTATTAATTGTTTTACTTTCTTGTAGAATTTTTTATGAAATTATTGTGATGAGTATGAATAATGAAATACTATGTTTTCTTGAAAGGACAGTTTTTTTATTATATTTCAAATTAAAAATGGTTTTTTGTCGAGTATGGACCAGAATCAATTTGGCCGCTTAAATTACATAGAAGTAAAGACATTCAATAAGACCTCTTCCTTTGTTTTCTTCACAAGCGGCGAATCGTATGGTGATGTCCGAATTTACTTTCACTTCTTCCTTTAATAGGAATTTGGTGCAAAATTTTTTTGTTGGATTTTGTTTCATCCGAATTTCATATTGATAACCAGGTCGAATGAGAATTGGTTTTGGCAAATATGCATGGTACAAGGTTGTTTTACCACGGTACATTACGATTTCTTCACCTGTTTTTGAGGTTTTGATTTCGATAATTGTAACTTCCGATTGCATGCCCGTCATTGGTTGATGATATTGACCATCCTTATATTCATATACCGAAACACGTTTGATTCTGTGCAAGAAAATTGGATAGCTAGTTGAGAACACTGTTTTTTCCATTTTACTGATATAATATAAGCTGGTAAGTGAAAGAAAACGACATAAAATATGATCTTCCAAATGCGGGAAAATGTTTCTATTCCATGGATTTATTTCGGAGCGTTGTTCACGAATTCCGTTGAACATATTCGATTGAAAATCCTTATCGGCGATGATTTGAATGATGTCTTGATATTCCATACGCGAAAATATTTCCCCATATGAAGGAATGAGAGTAGCAAATTCGTTGAATGTCATCGATCCAAAGCGAATGTCATAGAATGAATCGCCGAGTTGATCTTCCACCATTTGTTTTGTCACGACATCCTGCTTGCTTCCAGCTTTGATCCATGCCATACACGCTTCGAAGAGCTCAATTTCAGAGCACGTCAACCAATTCAGCTTCACAATTTGCGACATGGTTTTCGCATTACATGTCAGGAAGTCATTTGATTGGAATACCGCTTTGGCGTTGTAGCCGATCATCTTTTCACATGATTCCAACAAAGTTTCTTGCTCAAGAAGCATCGCCAATTCGTAACACTCGACCGCGTTGTTTTCATCCAGATTACGTTTCAATAACTTGTCGCAAACCATCAAACATTCGGCGACGTCGTACATATGGCCCAATTTCATGACCTTGGCCACATTTTCGGTGGTCACCGTGACACGGTCGAAGTAAAAGAACTGCAAGAATTCCTTGAATACAGGCCCCGACACATCAGTGATCTTCACTTCATTTTTTTCTATCCACGCTCCACTGAACATGGCGGCAAAGACATCGCTGGCAGCGGCCAAAAATGTTTTGTGTGCCGGAATACTCTGGGCTGGTTTGTCGCTGGTTTCGAACACGAAGTACACGTCGGCCAATTCGGTGTTCAGATACAACTTTTTTCCAATTCGTGAGAGCAATTCGGCGGGGTAGTCACGTAATTTGGAGTTCGACATGATGGCAGAGCTGTTGAATGAGAAACAGATGTACAGAACAAAATACGTTGGTTTTCTTTATTTGGACAACGATGCTTTTGCAGATAGCGGTACTTACGTTTTACGATTCGTGAATGACAGGAAATCGAACCAAATGATATTTTCTGCGGTAAAGTTATAGTTTTGATTCTAATTTGGATATTGAAATATGTTTATTTATTGATTAAACACACGTATTTATCTAAGTTTTCTGAATTTTTGATGAATTTCGCAACAAGTAGTAATCAAAATATAGTTTTTGGTATGACAGAAACAATGTGACAGCTCACGAAAGTTTGCGTATATGCTTTTTTCAGCCCAATTCGCCGGGAATTGCGGCAAAGCTTCCAAACAGCAGATGAGCTTTGATTAGTGTTTTAGATATTTGTCAAAAAATGTCAATAATTATTGAATTCAATAAAACCGTATCAAAGCACCGACTTTCAGTTATTTTAACTTTTTCAAAAATTAATTCATCCTTTTTTTCCAAAAATCAACGACATTTTTTTATTTAAAAAATTGTATAGTTCGTCGACAATTGACAATAGCCAACTTCATATCGAAGACTGTCATCTCCAATACAAGCAACGTTTTCCCTCCTTTTCCATACAGTGAATAAATTGCGTTGTATCATTGTGTACAGCAAGAGTCGCTTGTTTCAGCTTTAAGAAGAAGCACCACGTTCTATCTGGAATAAATTTGAACTAATTTCAAGCAGAAGCGAATTAAAAGGTAAGTTTCCATCGAAATACATCGGTATTTTCAAGAAATTGCATTGAATTGAATGGACAAAAGGTGTTTGACACAGTTAATAAAACAAGCTCCCCAATCAGATTTTGTTTATGCAAATAGATTCGCTTGATCGAAATAATATAAGGTGACTAATGAAATTTCTCTATTTATGTCTCGACTTTATGGTCTTGTTTTATTCAGGAAGACAATGAATCCATTTCAATGTAAGGGTATTAGTGGCGGCCTGGTTGGCCACAGGTGCAAATGCAAGCCAAAGTGTTCACAAATCACGGTGAAGGAAGAAGCCATCGTCAAAGATGAGCCGAATGATATGTTTCAGTACTCACCACTACCATCGCCAATTGGAACGGGTGCCACCATTAAATCGGAGAGCGAGA